CTAGCAATTCAAATTTAGGCTAAAGGATTCAAGGGATCCTTCTCAAAACCAAAATCCCAAAAATGAAAGAACGGTTCTGAACAAGAATTGTGCAAATAAAATYCAATTAAGKYTCAATGTTAAACAAGTCTCAACAAAGTTCAATGCAAACTAATTATAATCTCATCACTAGAATCAGAAAATTAGCAATCCATAATTTTAATCTTAAACAGAAATTAAACTTACGGATGGTAGAAAATTGTAGAGTATGAAGAACCCTAAGTTGAGAAATCTGAACTCATCTCTAAAATCTGGAAATGGATTTCAGTTTGCTTACAACATCTTGATTCCTCCCTCTTGACCGACTGCTCCCTCAAGTATCCTCTTGATTCTGCAACTTCAATCGAACAGCCCCCTCTTGATTTCTGCCTTGCTCGGCTTCTGTTGCTCGGTTTTTCTCTCTATCGACAGCCCTCGATTTTCCTCACGATGACAGCCCCTTTGCTGTCGATTTCTCTCCTTCTTCTCTCCTTCAACGCGACCGGACTTCCTCCTCTTCGACAGCTTGATGCTGTCCTCTTTAATTGCTCCCATCTTTGCCCACGTCCCGATTTTCTGCCCACTCTTTGCTGCAACACGATGTCCCGTCTCGTTCTCTCTCTCTCGATCTGCACGACCTCTTGGGCAGCAGCTTGGGCTGTTGTTTTTTTCTTCTTTTCTTCCAGCTTTGGGCAGCTCTTGGGCTGCTGTTTTGGGCCTATTTTTGGGCTGTTTGATGCTGATGATAAAAACCAAAACACAACAATCAATTTTCTCTTTTTTTTCTCAACTTAAATGGTCTCATAAGATTAAATATCATCTTAAATTAAAACGGACATTTTTAGGCATCTAATTGACATTAATCGCAAGGTACTTTGACGTAAAAATGTATATATTTGTGCTTATCAAATTCCCCCACACTTAGATCATTGTCCGTCTCGGCAATGACTTTAGTTAACACGTAGTTATAAAAAGAAATAATGAATCAAATAAGAACATCAACACATATAGCATATCATGAGTTTGAGATTTGCAACAAAGCATTGAAAAGAGTATGCACACGCAATCAAATAGACACAAGCTAATCTCGAGAACTCTCACGAATGGGATTAACAAAACAACACTTGATTCACTCCTTGGGTTAAAGTGTATCGCTCAAATCGTCACTACACTAATATGTATCTACCATAAGCTTGAAAAACCTCTCACTCTCCACTACTTGGATAAAATACATGCTTATAAATCAAAAGGTCTTAAAAGGTGTAACGAAAAACAAGGCTTTGGGTACGGTAGGGAAATATTTAGGAAAAGTGACCAAGACCTAACACCAACGGAGAATTCGGCTACTCAAACACACTTTATTTTATTTCCACAAAGGACTTTTGCATTTATTTTTGAAGCTCATTTCTTTTCGGACGATAGGGAATAGAGATGAAACACTTATATTCAACCGTATCGTCATTTTCGTCGTCTATTTTTATTTTTTATTGACGACGCAATTTTGCTTTTCATATATACCTATATATTTTTTTCTTTTTGAATTTTCTGTTTTTTTTTCTTTCTTTTCTTTCATTTTTTTTTCTTCCCAAACATACGAATTCTACTTTCAAGTATAGAGGGATATTGGGATCACTCCATTGGTGCTTAGTCCAGTGAGTCGTGTTTGGATTGGTTCATGATGTGGGTGACAAAGGAAACAGGCTAAGGCTCAAAGTGGTGTCAAAAGGGATAATAACAACATAAGGGGTAGGCTTAAGGCTAGTGGTTTAACACAAAAATGAGCAAACGATGGCCTTTATCATGTTTATTAGCATGTAGTTATCATGTAGTCTTAAGGAGAGAAAAATCAAGTTCTAGATATGCATATCTAGGCATGACGCAATCACACAAGAAATGAATTGAGACTAATATCAATTATTTAGTCTAAATAAGCTCAAAGTCTCACGGTGTTCAAAACTAATTCAAGAGATTAACAATAGTCTACTTTGACCGAAATGCTACCACTAATCAACTCTAAGTGCTATCAATCAAGCTCAATTATACATGCATCCAAACTCATTGTCATCAACAATTTAAGCTCAATAAAAGCATGCTAACACATTGTCAAAACGGACAAAGATCCTCATTTAAGCACAAAATTTGCAAAAAACTTGCAAAAATTTTGACCCCTAAAACCATTATATACCCATTTCACGCAAATAACCCCCACCCCTACACTTAGTTCATACATTGTCCTCAAGGTATGAAATAAGTAGAGGACACTCTAAGCAATTAAGGAAAAGGGAACAGAAAACTCCCCTGATTTGATGAGTGACCTCTCAATGTAAGAATCCATGGAGATGGGCGCGTCTCTTCGAGCATCCAACATTCGGGGCGAACCTGAGAACATAGAAATCTAAGAGTGAAACTAGAGAATCTAAAAAAAACAAAATAAATAACTGAAAGCAATAAATAACAAGAATTGGAAATTCGTGGGTTGCCTCCCACGCAGCGCCTTTCTTTTATGTCTTTGGCTAGACCATACTCGGTTCAATTCGTGTAGTTTGGCGTGTCCAAAGCTACCCTCTCTAAGTCCCTTCCATCAAACCCTTCATAGAACGGCTTTAGCCTATGGCCGTTAACTTTAAAAATCTGCCCCGTAGATAGACTTTGTATCTTCACTGCACCATGCTCAAAAACGGTTAAAACAACAAAAGGTCCTATCCATCTGGACCTTAACTTACCGGGAAATAACTTAAATCTAGAGTGATAAAGGAAAACTTTCTGACCTTTAGTGAAAGACTTACGTGAAAAACGAGAGTCATGGAACGCCTTGGTCATAGTGTCAGATAGAGACTCGATAACATCAACAAAGCATAAAGATGAAACATCACTCGGATATCGCATGGCATCATATATATTAAATTTAATCATCTCGCCATCGAATTCCATGGTCAAACTACCACTATGGACGTCTACCTTAGTCTTAGAGGTTTTCAAAAATGGTCTACCTAGCAAAAGCATACCGGCGTTGGAGGCATTTTTCTCCTCCATATCTATAACATAAAAATCTGCCGGAAAGACCAATTCATTCACTTGAACTAGCACGTCCTCTAATACCCCTTTCGGGTAGACAATAGACCTATCCGCTAATTGGATTACCACACTGGTTGGCTTGAGGGGCCCTACATCCAAAGATGAATAGATGGCATATGGCATAACATTAATTGATGCCCCTAAGTCCAACATGGCTTGATTTACTGAGACATTGCCTACCTTACATGGTATGGTAAACATGCTCGGGTCTTTACATTTTGGTGGTAACTTTTTTTGCAAAACAGCGGACACATTTTGACTCATGCTTATCTTTTCATTACCCTTTAGTTTCCTTTTAGTAGTGCAAAGTTCTTTTAAGAACTTAGCATATCTAGGAACTTGCTTAATTGCATCTAATAAAGGGATGTTTACCTAAACTTTCCGAAATGTGTCAAGGATCTCCTTCTCTTCACTCTCCCGCTTTGTCTTCTCGAACCGGCTCGGGAATGGCGGTGCTTGAACTATCACTTCGAGTGTCTTCTTCTTTGACTCCTCTTCTTTGACATCCTTTGCACCCGAAGTGGATGTCTTGACCTCTAACTCTTCTTCTTCCTCATGAACCTTTTCCTTCTTCTTATTTCCAACCTCTTGAAGCTCCTTTCCGCTTCTCAAAGTGACAKCACTCACATTTGCCTTCGGATTCGTCTCCGTTTGAGATGGCAACTTACCCTTATTCACTAATTGTCGAATAGTGTCCTGAAGGTCCTAAATGCTCGCTTGAGTTTCCTGTTGAAATTTCACCATGTTAGCAGCCATAGACTTAACTACATCCTCTAACGACATACCTAAGCCACTAGGAGCTTGCGGTGACACTTGATGTTGATGTTGGGCATTTGGCTGAAATGGTGCCTTCGATTGATGTTATTGCTAAAAGCCCGGAGGTGCTTGGAATTGTTGAGGTTGAAACTGCTGAGGCGGCTGGAATAAACCTCTTTGCTGAAATTGTCGACCTTGTCCTTGTCCTTGCCTCGGGGCATAGCTTAGATTCGGATGTTGCCTCCAACCGGGGTTATATGTGCTTGAGAAAGGGTCGGGCGCCCGGTTGCTTGAATTCTGAAAGTTGCCACCCCCAATGGCATTCACTTGCTCTTCTTCTTCATGTAAGGTCGGGCATGCATCGGTGGGGTGTGCCACTGATGAGCAAAATCCGCATGCCTGGACTTGAGGCATATTACCCATGGCAAGTTGTTTCACAAGGTTAGTTAAATCAGTTATTTTAGTCTCTAATGATTTAACATGTACCTCACTAGCGCCTCGGCCAATGTCACTTCGAACTCCAAATTGCTTGGAGTTTTCCGCCATGGTGTCTATCAAGGTCCTTGCTTGAGTTGGCGTCTTGTTCACAATAGCTCCTCCACTCGCAGCATCCATCATCTTTCTTTCCATTGGTAGCAAACCTTCATAAAAATACTGAATTAGTAATTCATCAGAAATTCCGTGTTGAGGACAACTTACACAAAGGCGCTTGAAGCGCTCCCAATACTCGTATAAAGATTCCATGTCCTTCTGCTTGATCCCACATATCTCTCTTCTAAGCCCGGCGGCTTTGGATGCGGGAAAATACTTGTCGAGGAATGCTCTTGCCTCTTTTGCTCCCAAGTGGTGATGGATCCCGGCGGTAAGTAGAAAAGCCACTCCCTAGCTGCGTCAACTAGGGAGAATGGAAATGCCTTCAACTTAAGATTCTCCACCGTCTTGCCTTGTGGCTTCATCCCCAAGCACACCATGTGGAACTCGGTCATATGCTTGTACGGGTCTTCATTAGCTAAACCATGAAAACGAGGTAGTAAGTGTATTAAACCAGTTTTAAGTTCAGCATTTACCTCTTCTGGCGGATAAGTAATGCAAAGAGGTTGCTCGGCGACGTTGGGTGCTGCCCATTCCCTTAAAGTGCGTTTGGGATTCGCCATTTCCTCTTCAGTCTCGATTACCGGTTCTTCTTGCTCAGAATGAACTTTCTCTTCTTCGTCCTCCGTTTGGTCTTCCGAATCGGATGACAACTCAATATCTTTCCAAATATTGAGAACCGGTGAAGAAGTAGATACGCCTTGCTTCTTTCGAAGCTTATCTTGCTTTCTTAGCTTCTTTGCGGTTTTCTCAATTTCCGGATCAATTGGCAATGGTGAACCTGCACGAAACGATCTTGGCATAAACAGTTAAACTTTGCCAAGTCCCCGGCAGCGGCGCCAAAAATTTGACGGGTGTCGAGTCCGGCAAAT